CGCAAACCAATCGGTGGTCCGAAAGGCGTCGGTATCCTAACCGTTGAGTGAATGACTTCGTGTCCGTACGGTTTGAGCCGCGCTTCCGGCGACCGACCGACGGCTGACTCGTCGTCACCACTGATGACGGTTTCGACGTCTTTGATGTGACAGTGGATCCGATGGTAGACTCGGCCGTTGTCTTGGGTTTCTTAGGCGGTCGGCCGCGCCTTTTGACAGCCTTTTCCGGCTCTTCTTCGGTGGCCTCACTCTTGCGCTTTCGACCCCTTTTGGACGTCTTGGTTGGGGTCACGTGTGGGCTGTCATGGCGTTCGTCCTCCACATCTGTGTCAGCCTTAACCACAGTTGTTGTCTTCGGTGTTGTTTTGGTCACCTCTTTCTTCTTCAAGCGTTTAGTCCCAGTCTTCGGCGCTGCCTTCGTCACGATCTCTGCATTGTCGGCACTTTTGCCACTTCTGGTAACTCTAGCCATTGTAGTGGTGATGACAGTTGGGATCAATTGGTGTGACAATCAATTGGTCACAAAAAATGGGCACAAAATGTGACAAAAAGTGTGAAATGTTTTGAGTTTTGGTTTTTCACTCAAAACCTGTGTTTCGATTGGTTTTCACAAAATGTGTTGAGTTTTGCATTCAATGCAAACACAGAGACATCTGTTGAGCCATACGTTTGCTCACAACATATGACACAATCAGTGGTTGTTATCATCACTCATACCACTCGTGGATCCGATTGTTACCACCATTTGTGCTCATATTGTGAAGACATCGATGAAGACAGTGATGAGTGTGACGACAAGAGCACCGGAACCGCATTCCGCTAAAGATAAGGACACTTTTGCCTACAAGACAGTCGCCCACAGACTGCCCGTCATATTAACCAAAGCCATTGACACGACATGTCGTCGCCTCAAGAGTTTGGTCGAGTCGGGGGTCGTGTCGAGTGACCACCGATTAGACGCCGAACAGGAGATGAAGGACTCGATCGGACGGATGGCTAAACTCCGCAACGAATTGCAAACCGATAAGCCGTTCGTGGAGTTGGTGTCCACCGCACCGGACGTCCACATATGGAACCGATGTCTTAGTGATCATATGAGTGAGTTTCGGTGCGAACCCAAATGGTTCACCACTTCATGGCTGTACGCCGAGTGTTATCTCTATCGACGAGTGCGGGAAGCGTTTCAATTAACACAATATGTCAACACATTTGATCCGTTCAGCGAATCCAAAGAGGAAGCGCTTAAGTCGTCCATCCATGCCATCGAAGTGTTGACAGAGTTTATGAGGACATCGTTTGCGACCAAAGACACGGACATTGAGACAGAGTTCACGCGTTTCATAGAGTTGTCTCTTTGGGGCAACAAATGTGATCTCTCGCTGTCCGCCGGCTCTCAGACCAATCAGTTCGCGAATCCCACGCAAGACTTGATCCAAATGAGAGACTTTATTATTGATAATCACACGAAACAGTTGTGGCATTTTGTGGACACTTATCGCTCGTCCAGCGATGGTCTGCAACTGAGTCTAGTGTTAGACAACTCGGGCTTTGAGTTGTTCACTGATTTATGTCTCATTGAGTTCTTGGAAACGAGTGGTATATTGAATGACAAAAGTGTTGTCAAGTTTTACGTCAAATCCATGCCTTGGTTTGTGTCGGACGTCATGACTAAAGACTTTCATTGGTTTTTGAGGTATTTGTGCGACGATTCAAACACTCACTCATCGGCTGTCAAAGAGTTGGCCCACAAATGGACTCATAATCTAAAGACCGGAAAATGGCTTATCATTGACGACCACTTCTGGACTCTTCCTCACGATTTCAGTCAAATGAAGACAATATCTCCGCAGTTGTATCACAGCTTAAGTGAATCCAATCTTATTGTCTTTAAGGGAGACTTGAATTACCGGAAACTGACCGCTGATCTCAAGTGGGATCTGTCGGTGCCTTTCGACACCTCATTGCGTGGTTTCCTTCCGACCACTCTTTGCTCTCTGCGGACAATCAAAGCCGATGTTGTGGTCGGCATTCAAGACAAACAAATGCTGCAAAAGATTCACACGTTTGCAGACAACTGGAGAGAAACCGGTGATTACGCTGTCATACAATTGGCTATAAAACAGTGATTTTTAGTGCAAATTGTTTTGTAAACTCACATTCAATTAAACCTATGATTGCTATGATTTTGTGAAATTATAAATATTGAATAATCTCCAGTTATTATAAATGAATTAATTTTAATTAATGTTAGAATTAATTACTCAATATAATGAACAAATAAGTTTGATTTTTTCGGACAACTTTTAATAAATGTTTAATTATAAATTGAATAAAAAGTTTACTAAAACATTATTATAGTTATGAAATGAATATTATAATATAATTCATATTATGAAGTACCAGTGTATCTAAAATTGTATATACCATTTGTTACCGGTATAACCTACTGTAAAGATTGTTTGTATTTTTTGTTAATTTATTTATATTTGTATTAATAAGGCTCAAAACAAACTAGATGATATAATAAGAAAATATACAATACATAAACCCATGACCCTGCTCAAAGTTTGAATGCACATACAGTAGTGACTGATAATATAAATTTATTGAATAAAATCTATTTATCCTTTAATTGGACTTCAATTTTACTCATTTATAGTATTCAGTGTTTAGTTTATGTGAAAATGTCAAAATCAAATGACTATCCAATGGCTTACTATTGTCTGAAATGAAAAACATTTGCATTAAATATCAAAATCTTAATTCCAGTTACATTTCATATAGTATTCAATAACACTGTCATTACTTTAATAAACGCTTACGTAGGCAGAGGTGGACAGACACTCTTTAGAGACAGTCATTATTTAGGGATCAATCAATTCACACAACTTTTCACTAAAAAAACTCAACAATTTATTCATTCGGTAATAATAAAAACCATTTTATATTACTTATTTACAAAGTTATTAATTACATAACAAATAAAACATTTGCGAAGAATATATAAAAAATAACAACTTTTATGAGTCGATTGCATTCGTTTCATACAAAACACGAATAGATTTATAGATTTCAATACTTTTCTTAACAAATGCCTCCAAATTGGGGCTCAAACTCGTCGTTACATTGAAGTAGTCTTTAACGCTATAATCAGCCATTGGTTTGAAATCATGCCAAACGTGTAAATGATTTCTAGCGTCCGTCTCACCAAAGAAGTACTTCTGGCGCTCGTCGTCGTCGTCATTCTTCTTAAGACACTCCAGACATTCAAACACCGAATCGCAGTTCAGATGACTCTTCAAGTGCTCCTCAAATGGCTGACTATCCTCTGGGGAACAGTAGTTCGAGTGTTGAGTAGATGTGTCACTCAATTTGATGGCATAACAGACGGCGCAGAACTCGTCTCGGGTTCGACACAATCGACGAAATGTGGGACTCGTTTGGAATGTAAGGAACGAATGGATCCAATCAATGGACAGCCGATAGTTCTTGACATTCAGTAGGTTTTCATCGCTCTGTGAGTGCTCTGCGCTGTGACTACGGAACGCCTTAACCGTCGAGAAGTTGGCCAAACAGTGGGTGACATCACACCTGACAACTGCTCCCAAATGGCGTTTATAGTGATCGAAGGCCTCCTTCTTGTCCTTCAAGTGAATGCTTTGGCGACAAAACACACAAATCAGTTGATTAGGAGTATGAGGAGTGGACACCAATTCGGGCTTCACTTTCATATCGGCCATCAATTCCTGTTTAATACCCGGTTTGACATCAAACAGACCCTCAGTTTGTGTTTGAGAATCACATTGAAACTCATGAGATATGGTTTGGGTTTGCATTTCACACACATTCACAACCTGTCTCTTAATACCCACTCTTTCACTGTTCAGAACATTGTTTTCATTTTGAGGTAAATTATCACTATTTGTATCCATATGTTGGTTATCCCTAACCACAGTTGTAGTGGTGTTTGTACTGCCTGAACAACTCTGAACAACTACTTCAGTCGCTTCTGATTTCATGTCTAACTCTCGAGTGTTTTCATCAATATTTGGATCCAAATCATTGTAAACCGGGTTTGCGAGTGTCGTATCACTGAATGGGCTATCGATTTGGTCATCAAATGCTGTTTGGCTTTCATCTGACGAGTCGTTCCCAACAATAACTTTGAGATCTGTCTTAACAATCAGTGGTTCGTTTGAATCACTTATATCTCTATCCTTAGAGCGAAGTCTTTTAGCCATCGGTTGTCTACTGAACTTCAGAAGTATCCTTCGCTTCTTAGACTTGAGTTCAGATTCACCACAAGTTTGAGAGTGCGATGGACTCCGAGCACCTGAATCAATAACACCCGTCTCGTATGCGGCATTCATTTCAGTCATATTTTGTTCACCATTTGTGCCGACAATCAAATTCTTGTCATCCGTTTGTGTACTAAATAAACAAATAAATCATTAAAATAGAGTCAAAAACAGACAATAAGTGATTGAATACCTGAGAGAAAGGGTTTCGTTACGAAACTCTTGAAAGAGTGTGATTTCATTCAACTCTTTTCGCTTCATTTCCTCGTAAACAGAGTTTACTTCTTCGAGACTCAACTGAATCACAGCATCCCTTTCCCTCCACAGTGTTTCGAGTGTTGTGTCAAAATCATATGATAACCAATGACCGGGATGTCTAAACAACTGCTTATTAGCTACTTTCCATCCCTGTTCCTTAATCTTAACAATCAGTGGTTCGTTTGAATCACTTATATCTCTATCCTTAGAGCGAAGTCTTTTAGCCATCGGTTGTCTACTGAACTTCAGAAGTATCCTTCGCTTCTTAGACTTGAGTTCAGATTCACCGCAAGTTTGAGAGTGCGATGAAGTCGATGGACTCCGAGCACCTGAATCACTGACACCCGTCTCGTCCGCGGCATTCATTTCAGTCATATTTTGCTCACCATTTGTGCCGACAATCAAATTCTTGTCATCCGTTTGTGTACTAAATAAACAAATAAAACATTAAAATAGAGTCAAAAACAGACAATAAGTGATTGAATACCTGAGAGAAAGGGTTTCGTTGCGAAACTCTTGAAAGAGTGTGATTTCATTCAACTCTTTTCGCTTCAATTCCTCGTAAACAGAGTTTACTTCTTCGATTGAGTTGACTTAGTGTCGTAGGGAAAGGGAGGTGTCACAAAGCTCACAACACAGTTTTAGTATACTATTGGTTACTGGCCCTACAGATTTGTTGACGAATAATCGATGAAAGGTAGGGACAAGGAATTAGTGACCCGTAATCTTAGTCTTATCGCGCAAATAGAGAGTCCGCTTATCATTGCTTTCCTCGTATCTTAAGTTAGAGTAATTGTGTTCCGAAACTGCTTATTAGCTACTTTCCATCCCTGTTCCTTATAGTGACCCGTAATCTTAGTCTTATCGCGCAAATAGAGAGTCCGCTTATCATTGCTTTCCTCGTATCTTAAGTTAGAGTAATTGTGTTCCGACTGTTGACCACAACTTAGTTTGCGGTCACTTTTGGGCGCCACTAATGGTCCGCATGAGATGCCGTCCAGCGATACCATGTTTTTAATCATATAATGCCTTAACTTAGGCAATGTTTTCTATATAAAAAATAAAATCCAAAAACAATATCAATATTAACACGTTTAACGCTATAATTATGGCATACATTCAAAAGTAGTGAATAGTCTTCTTTTGTTATCTCGAGTTCGAGAAGTTCTTTGACTTTAGCGATGAACACATCGGCAGTAATGGTATTGTTCTTGTGGTTCAAAAAACAGATATTAGTTTAACATTAATTGCAATAAAACTATAAATGAGATACAATTAATAGCTTACAATCAATTTCTGAGTAAATGCATGTATTTTATTATTGATTTCCAGAGGTTGAAGGCTAGATATAAGTAGAATTACTGACAAATAAGTGATACTATCGTTAAGATCGCCTTTAGATGCATTGGTGGCAGAGTTTGACGAATGACCAGAGTTTACATTAATAACTATTAAATTAAACAATAAATAAAACATTAGACAAATATAGCGATTTTGTTAACAAAAACAAATATTACAATCAATTGAAAACGAATTGAGAGTTAGAATCGTTGGATTTGAATCAATAATGGGTTCGGATTCAGAGCTATTGCTATTGGACTCAAGCCTATTGAGTAGAGAGACATTTACTTTTATGTTTATTACTTATGTTAATAGTGAAAGTGATTTCATACTCTTCATGATTGCTCATACTCTAGGAACTGAAAACCGCTATATAAGAATAACTTATAGAGTAACTCACTTTCGGGTTTGAAAAACGGCAGACAATACTATGAAAACACAACAAATCATTAAATATTTCATATGAGACTACATCATAACGAGTGGTACCTTAAGAACTGGAACCATGAGGTAAGAGGGCGGACACGGTATGATTAGATTGAGTTCAGAGCAAAACTCTTCGGCACTTACTTTTGAAACCTTTACATAACATTAGAAAAGATATTTTCAATCATAAATTCAAATATCAATTAATGGCTCATATTTACCAAAAACTTAACCAATAAATCAAAGAACTCTTTGAAAGGTTTGATATGTTTCTTGTGTTCGAGTATTCGGATGTAATTAATAAATAAAATCTCAGACATTTGCCATCGAGTCATATGAGTGCCTAATATGTCGATCAAGTGTTTGACTCTATCGGCAAAAAACGATTCGGTGGCCGACGTGTCGGTGCACTCGAATACCGGTCCCAAAACTGTTTGAACAAAATTAAGACATTAAAAACTCAAATCAATGCCAAACTCTTACCTAATGTTTTGTTATCCGAGAAACAGACGTACGGCTCATTTTGGTGGTCAAGCGTCAACTCTCTGCCGGGGACTACGAACTGAACGTCTGGTGGGTATTGACACCCATTGAGGTCCACCAGGAATGGTATGCGTAGAAGGTGTGGCTCTAGTTTCGTGAGTTTGTCGACAAACATCGATTTGTGGTGAACGTTAGCTATCGGGTGATAATCGGAGTGAAAGAATAGCTCATTTGGGACCGCATTGTAGGGCTCCGGAGGGT